TCCGGGTCCTCCGCGGTGCTCCTGGGTTGTCAGCCCAAACCCGTCCTCCTGACCCCCTCCACCCACCCTGGTGGCCCTAGTTTTATGCATTCAGGTAGGCCCGCCCCGGTGCCGGCTACGTCTATAGAAGTCTCAGTGGATGAATTATTGCATGATATGATCAAGGGGAGTACCCATACTGTAGAGTCCAGTAGAGAGCGGAGCCTGTGAGAGATATAACCAGCTGGGTGGAAGGAGAACTCTGAATGTGTATCTCTTCACTATTTAAAAGTAGAAATTGTTGTATGACTTCTGCTGACTCAAGGATGTTCTTATCAGTATTCAAAGTTTCAGTTGGTTGTTTATCCTATTGTTCATAGCCTTGGTTTTTCAGGGACAGGTTGAACGTTTCTCACACATTGGTAGCTGTTTGGGGATTTGTACAATTTCACAATCTCTTTACTCCAGAAATCAGAGGAATATCCTGCCAGGCTCATTGGCTCTCCTTGTTATAGGGCCTGAATTGTATCTAACTGTATCTAATATAAGTCTTAGTGCCAGCCTTACTTATATCATCAACATAATGGTAGTCATTATTTCACAAACAATAATGTTTGTTTCTTCAAAGTGTCTTTAAAAACGATTTTCTAGTCAGATGTAGCTTTTGGCATTTTGTATTGGTCACATGGACAGTTTACACTGAGAAGTCAAATATATATAACACCGATATTGATATTCCAAACCCAGTAGGATAAAGTCTCATTTACAGTCTTACATTTTACATTTTGGTTTGAAAATACAAGAAGATAAAAAAAATCACATACTTGGGTATTTATTTATTTTGTTCTAGCTCATCGATGCCATGTCACCACCAGGTGTCAGGAAAGTCCAGTGGATCAGACACAATAATATGGGGTGACATTTTTGTTTTACACAAAAAACTGTGTCTCTGTATCTGCTGTATATCTGTATACTGCTTCTTAGGGTATCCAGCTGTATGACTTTACTGGTGCTGCCAACACAGACTCAATAATTACATTTATATAAAAAAACATTTATCTGTAAACAACACTTCTGCTTTCTGCTCTAATAATTCACTTAACATTCTAGCCTGATCATGTAACTGATGTAACCGATGGCTTTCTTTGACATTTAGAATAAAAAGACAAAAGGCAGGGGTAACCATTTTTTAGCATCAGTACATATTTAAAGAAAATGGCTCTCCAAATCCTGTCCTACTTGCCTCTTCTCCACCTGAAGTAATGCCCTTGGCTTTGCCCCTGCTATTCAGTCTCTAATTTTGAATGGTTTGTTATTTTTATTAAGTTGTGTCAATTAAGTGAATACACCATTAAATCAACAAGTTATGAAAGAGCATACAGGGAAGCAAGGACAAAATACAGTTCAGTTTGACCACATACTGGCAATTTGGTTCTAGTCAAATATAAATTGATATGTTTCAATGATGTAAATTGTGCCTTTTAAACACACATGATTCAAAATATAGACCTTTTTCCACACAAGTAATGTGAAGAAATCTTGTTTATCATCATGCAAAATGTCCAAGTGTTAGTCCCTGTATTGAATAATGGGCATGTCAGTTAATTTAAATAATAGATTCCTGTCTAATGTTTTCATATTTGGTTGTGGTTCCTGTTTATCTACCAGATTTTATGCAAGGTTCTTGTTGGACTGATGATCACATGGGGAGGAGCAGGAAGTGCGGTGGCAGAGCTCAGGAAGACCCTCCCTCCGCTCCCCGGTTGTGAGCAGCAGGAACTCCCTCTATCAGCATCCAAATGTAGAATTCACACACATATCTGTGAGAAGTAGATTTGTGTGGTTTTATTTTTTCCGTTGCAATACCCTAACAAAAATCCCCACTGTGGGTGAGTGTGGTAGGGGCAAACCCACACTGATCCCATGGGCCCTGGAAGCACCAGGCCCACAAAAGCTCTGGTGTTTGGTTGGTCGAGGATCAACAAGTGTCAGCACAGAGCACCAGGACCACAGAAATATCCCAGAGAAAAAGGCAGAAGTGGTTTGGTATTAAGCTTTTCAACCTTTGTTTTAATCATTTCTTGTAATGTCTTAAAATCATTCAGGATGACTGTTACAAAACCATTCCTGAAAGCCTATTTTTCTCTTTCCTTGGTTTCAAGAGGGTTTTCCTTGCTCTCCGAGAGGCTGTCAGAACCGAGTACCAGCGCCACAAAATCTCTGACTGTTTTTTAACTAGACCGCAGTGAAGTGAAGTCTGTCCATGATTGAATGAGTAAGCATCTGAGTGCTAAAATGACACCTTTGGTCGGTAATGGGTATGAGATTTACCTCTTTCAAAATGATCGGGTCCAACAGTGATTCTGCTGTTAACACTTCGTCATTTATTTACCCAACTTCAGGGAATACCATCTTCCTTTTTGGATGTTCAATAAAAGCCAGTATAGGTAGCTCTTTCTCCAGCTATACTATCGACTATGGGCAAAACAAGCTGAAAAAAGGGTAATTTAAAAACAAGTGAACTATAACTGATGCTGGAGAATAAGGAGAAGTAAAGGTGTGAAGGAACACATTGAAAAACACTTGGCTTTCTACAAAGATCTTGTGAGGTAATAAATCCTGAACGTTTGACTGGGTGACCCTGGCTTCTATTCCCCTGTAGCCAGCCGGGATTAGTAGATTGATCAATAGCCGACTGTCATCAATAAGACAGCCTGGCTCCTGTTGATGGGCCCCGATGAGGCCTGAAGGTATGAGGATGGAGATCCATTGGTCTGATGCTGACAGCTCCTTCAGCCCAGGGAGTCAGGAGGGAGCGGTGCCTACAGCAGACTTCAATGAAAAACAACAAGGGTGTTATTTTAGGGTGACACTACAATTTTAGAGTGCTGATGCAGCCATGTGTTTAGCATTTTCTCTCTGACTTCCTGTCTAATTTGAGCTTTTCTAAGCCTAAGTAATGTAATGCTTTACTGTACACACAGTATTTGTGGGTGGATGGAGAGGCCCACAAGAAGGCTGACTGTGGTCACATTTTGTGGACTCATGTGAACCAACCCAGGGGGGTTTAAATCCACATGGAGCTAATATTTGGAGACTGGCCGTCAGACTTTACATATTTCAATGAGACAGCTGGACCAGGCGGGGAGGCTTTTAATGTAGAACTTTTGCTGAATTATTTCTAAGAATGCATAATACATGATCCTGGAGATCACGAGGGAAGGAGGGGAGGGGGAGGGCATGAGATTCCTACCAATACCAGCAAGCATTACATTCCTTCATCTTCTCCTCTCCTCTCCTCTGTCACGTCATACATTCACAGATTGTATTAACTTCTCCCTCTCACTGTCCTACCCGTCCTTGAGAAGTATCTGGGCTCCAGCGGTACTTCTGTATGTCATTCTCATTCACAGGACTCAATGTGATTAGAGAGGCTGTGTTTTGGCTGCAGATTAAGCCACTTATCACGACCAAGGTCTGTGAATATATCCATGTAGAAACACCCTTGAAAAACCCCTAACTTCTTCAGAAGGTCTCGCCCTCTGACAAAACACATCCGATGATTACATCGTTTACAGTAATCCTCTGTGTCATGTGGGCGTTGCTTTTTACCAGAAATAATGTCCCTATTGTTTGCAGCATTTACATAAATGATAACAAACCTGCAAAAAGGAATCAAGTCTGTCCATGATGTAAAGACATCACTTTGGCTCTCATTAGGCTGGCCATATTTGACAATTATAAACAGACGCTGAACTCACGCTGTCTGCGTCACATGATTCCTTTCATACAAATTGGCTGTGATTTGATTTGCTTCCTCAGTGGGTTATAAATGGGGTTACATTTTTCCATCTTACTGGTCATGTCTTATCTGATGATAGGTTTGCCCTGACATTATTGTTGCACAATTGTAGCTTATTTTGGCCTCAGAGCATGTTCAGTTTTCTGGTATGCGAAACATATGCTAGTTTAATAATTTACTCTGAATGCAACAGTAAATGACTGGGACTAATATCTACTGTTTGCACTGTTGTTTCCTCCTGCTGATTGTCTTCAAATCAATACCTAAGAAGAGGGGAGGTGGGGCGGAGGAAGAGCAGTCTTGCATCTTTGATGAAGAGTGATACTGTGAAATTACAGACGAGCGTGTTACTATTCTCCTTAGCACATTTGACGGGTGAAAACAGTTTGTGGTGTAGCAGGTGTAAGCTGGATCTAAATCATTAAAGTTGTAGCACCTGCAAGATGAAAAATATCTGTCTTTATTCTTTACTAAGGAATTGTACTGCTGTGTTTAAAAACATTACATTGGAAACAAGGGCATACTGTGTCCTCCATGTAACACCAGAAGCCAGGCTAAGAGAAAGTCAAGTTTATTTTATGGTTATTACCAATTTCTTGGCTTTACAATACAACATTTGACAACCTGAGGAGGAGCAGCGGAGGAGGCGTATACTCTTCCAGGACAAACATACATGAATTAGATGTAGTATACAGAATAGTCATGAACACAATATCCAACAATCATGGGTGCTCAGGGTTGTACATTTTACAATCCAAACCTTTAAATCAAACCTTGAATTGAACCGTCCTCCATGTATAACTGTCTCCTGTTGACCATGAGAGGACCAATTATTTCACATCGTTTTTTAAGAGGACGAAGTAACATTCTAGTAAATCAGCCCATTACAAGCTTCCACTAGAATAAAGTGGGACAACAAATGAAAATGTTTTTAAGTAGGCCTAGCTGTGCTTTCTAGCGCCCTCTGATGGAGGGCAGTTAGTTTGTGGGTGAGTTACAAGCTCTTATTACATCTAAGATCGGCTAATATTGATGTTTACGTTTCCTCTGATACAACTATAGAGTTAAGAGTGTAAAATAAATATTATAATGTGTGGCCATGAACCCACACATATTCAATACAGTCTGTTTGCTATACTGGAAGGATGGTGCGCGCGCACGTCAACGGTGTAATTGTACATGCACGCGCTCGTGAGAACATGCGTTTTGGGGCTTATTGCGGTTGCGCTCTCGCTGTCTTGAATTTGTCCCGCGGATGCATGAGAGGGGAAGCAGGCAGAGCAAAGTGAGCAGGACGAGAGTGGCTGCGCACAAAAACGGACGTGGTGAGCAGAACAGATTTTTCAGGACCAGGAGACGAGAGTGCAGGCTGAAAACAAAAACGACAGCAGCAAACCCTCAGCACAACTCTGTTTTCCAGTGTTTTTGAGCACACGCCCCCAGAAATCTAATCGGGGGAGGTCGCGTGCGGGGTCCACCGTCTGCTCATTAGCTGCCCGGCTTCAGACGCTGCTGCGCGCCCCATGATGGACCAGCTCTGGTGATCCGGAGAAGAAGACCAGTCGCCCTGGACGTCAACAAGTCCACAGTGCTTTGAGAAAATGGGCCGTTTTTACATTGAAGAGGGGAGGGCATTGCTGTAACACCGGCGGAACATGGCAGGGGTACACGCTTCAGATGTTGTGTCGGGACATTTTCTGGATCCTACCCTCGGCTCCCCGCAAGCCCAGGGCGCGACCGATACAGCGGGAACCCCCGGAGAAGCGGCCGCGCTGACTCTCACCGGTACCCGGGCGTACTTGGACGTGTCGGCCGCTGCCCACGGGTACGGGGCCGAAGGAGTGTACACCAACGGACGGTACAGGGAGCACAGCAGTCCAAGGAGTGGCAGCCGTGATAATTCCACTGACAGGAGTCAGGGAGCTGGAAACATACCTTGCGGCATCATGAAGGTTGGTTGGTTCAAACACTTAATTCTCCTTGTCAACGATTGTCAAGGTGACACAAGGGGAATTTGCTGAGGGACTGTGCCACACTATAGCGCGTAAGCACAGTTTACTCCAACTCTAGTCCAGACACTTTCAGGGGTACTGCTGGGTCCCAGAAAAGGATTTAGCCCAAAGTTAAGCACAGGGAGATAACGACTGAGGGGATTATCCCCAATGAGTCTTAATGTCCCCACTAATAGCAACAGCAATATATTACACTCATAAGTACTAATGGTAAGATCCTTCCTTTGGCTCTGCTATAGTTTGGGTCCTTCAAACTCACTTAAATTAAGCCGAGCATCTAAGTAATATTTCATCCTGAACTAAAGCAAAAGGAGCCTGATCATTTGATTTCTTAAGATTCAGTTGCTAAAGCTGCAGTTACTGCCAAAACAGTGAATGTGTAATAGTTGTCGCTTAGGTTTAGGTATTACTATAACATTCCTCTACTGTGAAGATGTATTTAAAGAATAATAAAACATTTTGTATAGTTGCAGGTACATGCAGGGTTAATTATTTTAACACCTGCATATTTAGAAGTAATATTAGGTTTGTCTGAAACAGATGGTGCATAGCATTAAGTGTGCTTTAAACTATAGCCTATTATAAATCTGATTTGTGGACCATCTAACTCAATTTATTCTTCGATGATGAATCGTGTGATGTTCATATTTTTAATGGTTGCTCAGCTTTTATTAGTGCTCCCATTACTGTAGGTTAATTAACTGATCTTCATCACACCGACATAGGCAAGTTGGCAAGTTTCCTCATAGTTTTATGTAATGTTACCCCATGATATGCTTTTAAGTGCACACAAATGCATTGTTTTTTACAACTCAGTGTGCACTCGGTCATCATGACAGACTGCATCATGTGGTCCTTGGTGGAGATGCAAGTATTACGTAGGTGGGACACACTGGAGCGTTTCTGTCATATCAGACCTAGTTTGCTTAGCAACTGACACAAAACACCGGCTAATTCTTTATTCTCCCATTATTGTATTCCCTTTGGATCTGGGCAAACAGCGCATCCTCCCACAAATAAAGTGCATGTTTGAATGGACGCAGGCACTGACATTGGTTTAGTGTTGTCAATGCAAAGGTACCATTTGTTCTTCTTAAAGAAAGAGATCTTGAAATATCACATGTCTTGAAAGCAGTATATCCCTCCTCTCCCTCCACAAACATCAGTCCACCTCTGTGAAGCTCATGAGCAAAACATGACAGGAAACACGTGATTGAAACAATGATTCCTGAACGTGATTGATAACAATTCTCCAAAGACTAATTCTGTGAGTATCGTCTTCATATAACGTTGGAAAGTGATCCTGCTGAGCTTTGGCTGGCGCAGTGTGATGAAGCGCAGCAAATTCTCTTGTATTTCCGCCTAGAATAACCAGGGACAGCTCGAAAAATGAGTTCATCTGTGGCGATGCACGAACACATTTACTGTACCTGAGGCTGTGGCGATGTGTAGTTTCCATAACCAAGCAGTGATCTCACCACACTCGAAGGCAACAATCTGGTCGATGTATTTTCAATACAGAAGAATCCACATACTGCAGGCGTTTGAGTGTATTGAATGGCATGAACGGTCTGTAGACTCTTGTCACTCGAGTGTGACCCTCTAGAGTTGTGTTTAATGACCCCAGTAATGATATACTGTCTTAAAAGTGAACCGATATTTCCACATCTCTTTTTCTTATGCGGAAGACCACAATTTTGGCTGATTACTAAACGGATGCAGAGATGCTGCAGGCTGTTTACTAGGTGGAATTCCCTTCTTTTGTGTTTCAGCTGTACTTCAGACAGTTCAAACTCTTTTGCATATATTAAACTCTACTATATTTTTGAAATAATTTGTATTCAGTCTTCCAATCACCGCACCAGCATAACATCTCCTTTTCGGGGCCAGTTTGAAAGGAAAAGTCCATCAGCTATTTCTTGTTAACGTTACTCTGTTTTATGTGGCTTACCTTGTAGAGCAGGTTTGAGCATTTAACAGGTTTCAAGGTGAAACCCAGCCTGAAATGGTATCATTCACTACTGTCTGATGTTCAGCACGTGTCTAAGTAAGGTTCGATTTCCCTGAGCACCTCTACATTGCACGTAAGGGTTACACAATGATACATACTGTTAGAGCAGAGCATGTTGGGAAACTGGGTCGGCCACTCTGTAGAGTTGCTTCATGTATAGATTTGGCACAGCGACCCACACTTGAGCCATGCTTTTCTGTCTGTGTGTGTGTGTGTGTTTTGAGTGAAGGTTTAAAAGGTGAAGGGGCCACAGTTTCATGGGAATAGGGAAGCAAATGAGCAATTACTGCACTGCATTACCTCATTAACTTGGCCCTCAGCAAGCAAATCTTAGAAGAGTGGAGTTTGTGCGTCCGTCCCTTAAGCGGGCGTGCAACTTTGTCCTCTTGCCATTTCCTCAGCGGGTTGACAGTGTCATGGTAGAGAGGCTGCAAAGTGGCTAGAGGGGGGGTGTGATGCAGCCTCGTTATGTAATCTGGACTGTGGACAGCTGCAAGCCCGGCTCCAGCCTGGCTGCTGGGTGGAGGGGACTGGCAGCCAACACAACTAGGGAAGGAGCATGATTTTATCAATTTAAGAATGATGCTATTGTATTGTTGTTGTATTGTTTCTCTCCCAAGCATTTCCATATATATATATTTTTATATATATATTTGTCCTTTCTTCTTTCTTATTCCTCTTTTAAAATCCTTCACCTTAGCAGCATTGAAGGTCAAAACTGTATTTTCAGAGATGACCAAGAAAATGAAAACAGGTCAAGGTTAAGAGTGATCCGAAAAGAAGGAAACAACAATGATGTAACACTTTAAGTTTCCATCAGGAATGGAAATCAATAAGGATCACAACATTATGATACTGTAAGGTCCTCTCTCACACCCACACTCTGCCTCCATGAGTGGCAGGATATCAATCCATCTTCCAATCCTTGACCTCATATAATAGATTGGAGCCAACATGACCCAGTGTGCCCCCTTATCAGTGTACCGGCATGCTCAATAGGAGACATGCATGATTGGCTTATGGAGGGGTCAATCCTGTCGACTGAGAGTGAAGCTGAAAAAGAGAACATCTTAGAGGAGGGGGTGATACTTTGATTTTCAATCAGTTTCAAAAGCGAGAGATTCATCTTATTTGTATTCAGGTCAACTACATTTGTTGGACGGGACATTGAGAAAAACCATGTTCTTGTCTCTTAAAGGACAGAACATTCCAGGGTTGAAAAACAGGAAACACGAGGTTTCATTTCTTGCATCTCCAAAGCTGCCTCCGGTGAAATGATACATGGAAACAGGGAGTGATGTCAAACAAGTGATGTCAAACAAGCACAGGCTGTGATATGCTCTTTCCAATCTCAAACTCATCCACCTCCGTTCACGAACCATATAAATAGAAAAAGCAGTTCAGTACTGTTGACCACCGCTGGCCCTGATAACAGTTGCCACAGATCACGCCAGAGACTCAGCAGAGGAGTGTGTCGCAGTGTCAAAGCTGTCCATGCAGACAGGAGTGCCCAAGCTCGATGGGTGAACGGTCATTTTATCGGAATGTTCCTAGAAACTGGAGGAGTTCTTCGTAATGACCGGAGAACCCATTATAGTATTACAAATATCTGGGGGTGGGTGGAATAGTAATAGAGGAACTTGATATAATGTGAAGGTGTACTCTGGCACCAAAGCATTGATTCTGAAGGAATTAATAGACCCTGTGAAAAGAATAGTTCACTGTGCTCCAAATTTGTAGTGTGACATTAACTGTGACGGAAATTTGTCAAGGAACCACAAATATAGCATTCGCTGTTATTTTAAACCGCTAATAGCCAGTTGCTTCACATCCAAAACAAAAGTGTAAATGGATCTGCAATTGCATACATTTTTTGACTGATTAACATTCAAACCCTTATCCAAATAACTTTGCATGACACGTTGGTTGCATTCCAACTCCCTTTATTATCAATACCACCTTGGGTTTGCCCGGACCTCTCATACTGGCATTTGTACCCAAACGATTATGTTAGCTCCTCAATATCCAAAGTGCTTAAACCCACTTTTGTGTGAAATCATTTTTGCAATGAGGAACATTAGGTTTAATGATGTTGGAGCAGGAAGATTAACTTGATAAATTGTCCTCGATTATTTGTTCTCTGCAGCCTATAAATGCTGGATACTAGATCACATGTTCGAGGCAGGTGTGACTGTATGGCAATTGTTTTATTAATTGGTGGATTCAACAAATATATGTTTAAAGTCACCAGCAACTAGTCGATTGTTAGTGTTTGTGAGTTGTATTAGTGTCAGTAGTGCCAGCCGACTAAGAAAGAAAAATAACAATTACATTTATTTGTTTGCTCCAGTGATGTGTTTCTAAAGGTTTACTGGTGGAAAAAGATCATGTCATTTAGTGTGTTTTTTCCCCCTGACATTCCAGAGTTTATTTCAAACCTGTAGCTGTAGGGGATATGTCAGACGGCTGAGTTACATTGCTCCCGCTGATGGATCCTCCTGCCAGCCTGCTCTGCTTCTGGCTATTGTTTAGCTAATGTGAGATTTGGCTGATCCTCTGGAGGACGTAGCACCGCTCAGTACAAGCCTGAACTTATAACACTGATTACATTTAGTGGGATCATGTGAGATGATGATGATGATGATGATGATTAGAATTGGAATACATGCGTATCTACGCCTCACAGCTCATTTTACAGGTCGATTTAAAGCTCCCTCCAAAAATGTCATTCAATATGGATAGAGATCCAGTAAGTTGGAATATCATGCACATCTCTTCAAGGGATCTTAAAGTCATCCCACGCTTCCTGCAGCAACTCCACAACTAAACGCTTAGATATTTTTGGAAAACAGAGATCTGCAGAGCGTGGAAAAGGAGGAGGCAGAAGATGTGAAGTGGTTATTACAGACGTCTGGGGTGCAGCTGAATC